GTACATCACGCAGTTGGGATACACGGCCGTCGCACTCTTGACTGGCGTGCAATCGTGTATCACCACTGCTTGATGAAAGCCACAAAAAGCCCATAAATAATAATAATAATAATAATAATAATAATAATAATAATAATAATAATAATAATAATAATAATAATAATAACTTTATTTTCATCAGTTATGATCGGAATCCCAGGGCAAAAGTCTGTAATGTACAGTTTGTCAAGTCCTCGGGCCCCTACAATGGTCCGCAGCAAACGGATAAAGAACACATTAAAGAAAAAACAAAAACAAAAAAAACACTAGAACAAAATAAGGTTAAAAAATGGAACAATGAGCCATGCGCATAGAAAAACTCAAAGAACCTAAAACGACATTGTAAACATTGCAGAAGTCATGTACAAAAATACAACGTTAAGTTTTTAAAGGTTAAGCCGGTCTCGATCCACACTATTTATACGGAGATTGTTTAATAAATGCGTTAGTGTGAAATCTATAGCATTTGAAAACCATAATCTGTTCGCTGAGTGACCATTCTCTATTTTCTGTTTTATGGGTAGGGTATGGTAATGTGTCTACCATCAACGACGTGCAGTTTTCCAAAGAAAGAAAACAAAAAAAGAAACATAAACGCATGAATTTTCTTTACTTTTACCCGGTTCATAATAACTTTACAGTTGTCTATTCTAGTTCTGATTCTCTTGATTCTTCAAATGTATTGTCCAGTCATTTTTTTTTTCTTTTAACTTTTTTTTTACATATTGTAGGCCATACTTGCAACACGACAGCAACAGCAGCCCAACATGTTGTCCAACAGTCGCGCAACTTGTTGCTCGTTCCCCGTGTTGTCCGACAACCCTGTCACATCGCAGCAACAACTTAATCAAAAGTAATCAAATTTCTGCATGGACATTGTGTTTCTTAAGATACGACGCTTATATATACCGGTAACGTCAAAACAGTAAAAGACTTTAATTCATAAAAACTGACTTTTAGCAAACCGTCACCGTGTTCCGCGTACCGCACTACCGGAGCCTTTGAAGCATGCTTTTGAGCGCGCGCCCCGTGCTCACGGTATCACCCGGGCGCGCGCTTAAAAGCATGCTTGAAATGCTCCGTTACCGCTCATTCACACTGGAAGCGGATCCGCGGTCGCAAAGCGGTTGCGAACGCGGTTGTAGAAAGATTCAGTGCAATTGCACGCGCACTCCATGACATCAAGTGCGCGTGCAATTGTACTGGATCTTTATACAACCGCGTTCGCAACCGCTTTGCGAACGCGGATCCGCTTCCAGTGTGAATGAGCGGTTAGTGTGGTACGCGGAACACGGCAACGGTTTGCTAAAACTCTCTAATACAAATTAACACAAAAGTAACGTGCTTTATCGGTAACCGTAACGCGTTCCTTTTATTTTGAGGTAACGTGGGGCGGTAACGCGTTCCTTTTATTTTACAAGCAACGGGTAGCGTCTTTCGTTACTTTTTTCGGTAACGCCAAGGACAGCTGCGAGCTTAGGAACGGATGCTGCCCCACTCATCAGCATCCCCCGCGGTCGGGCGTTGCACGACGCCGGAACGCCCCCACGCGGTGACGCCATCGGGTCGCTAACGATGCTTCGTCGTCGGTGCACCTGCAGCGGCGGAGAGGTGGCTGCCAGGTTGCGGCAATACGCGCTCGCTGCTATTATGCGTCGGGAATGACGAAACGTGCACTTTCTCGAAAAAAAGTTCTGGGCGTATAGAGTACGGAGCGATGCCCTGGGAATGCAAATTACGGTCCTAATGTTTCTCGAATGATGGCGCCTATGCATGCAACGGTAAAACGTTTTTATTCGCAAATAAAAAGTAGCGCAACTGTAACGTGCGTTACTTTTTTTCGGTAACGGTAACGCGTTCCTTTTATTTCGAAATAACGGAGTTGGTAACGCGTTTCTTTTATTTAGAAGTAACGTAGGTTTGTAACGCGTTCCTTTTATTTGCCTGTGACATATTTTGTCTCTTTTTTTTCGGCAACGCCACGACAGTGATGAAGATCAATATTTGGTTTTCGGTGTGAATGGTGGGGCAGCATACGCTCGGGGAAATGTAGGAATCTATCCCGAGAGGCTTGAGTTCACTCGCGGAAAAAGTAATGACGCCTAGAGGCTAAGGGACGCGCGTTTACTAAATAACAAATGATTGTGCGTCTGCTTCGCCGCAGAGCAGTGGGTCATGGTTCCTGAAGCAAATATTGTGGTCTAAAATTACGCGTCTGTTGAAGCGTGGCATCTCATGTGTTCAGTCTATGCTCGTTGCCACAGCACTGAATGCGTTTTAATCTTAAAGTTAGTCGACATTTACTGTTTGTTCCTCGCAAACAGGGTTTTTCTTATCTTGAGGGCAAGTGGGCTTTTTGACATTTCTAAGAGCGAATCTGTACTGCGCATGCCCGGACACCTTGTTTCATGCGAATTTGATTTCCGCGTTTGTGGATAGGCGCCGAAAATTCACAAGGACAAGTAGAGACGTAAACCCTGCCACTGTTTACGTCTCTTCTTCTGTTTTTTCGGCGCCTATCTAGGGTCACGAAGCAACTGGCCTAAATTGCCATATTAATTGATTTCCGGGCACTGCCCACAACCGGGGTGGGCAAACGCGGGCTCCCTTGTAGGCAGCGTGTTTGTGCCTAATTCAGCAGAGAAAGGTCCGCCATTACTTAATTTTTCGGAATGCTCCTTATGAGCTCCTTGCTATTTTAACAGCGCAGGCTTTGTTTCTCGCTTATTTTGACGCTGTAGTGGAGTTGGAAGGAGCGAGCGCGGCGTTCCTTCCTTTGTATCTTCTCGGCGCTGTGAGGAAGGAGCGACGAAACGAGAAAGCCTCCGAGTCTCTGGGGCGCCCCTCGGCCGGAGCCTCTTTGTGTGCTTAACTAAACGGAAGAAAGTGTATCCGGGCCCCGTGGCTAAGTGAGGACGGGCCATCACTATTTGGGGGCCAATTGCTCGAGCCGGAACCCGCAGCACCTATCGACCGGGAGGCCCGCGCTCGCCCCATCCCTGCGCGGCGGGGCATCTTTCGTCGGCCGGCCGATAGCCGGCCCCGTAATGGCAGAGTGCCGCCGGCAGATTGGGGCTAATTTCGGGGACCCCGGGCTCGGAACTCTGCCCGGAGCCTCCTTGACCCCGGCTGAGCTGACCGCTGCTAAAGTTAGCGGCACGCTCGACTTTGGCGAAGGACGTTGGATCTCTCCTTCTCGACCGCAGACATGTGCACCTTACTGAAATGAAGAAACTAATAAATACCATTACTCGTTACTATAAGAGAGCTTTAGTCAATTGTTTTGATACCTCCGATAACAATATACCCGATGACGATACGATGCAGGCGCAAAGGCGTCGGCGGGGTATCGGGTGTCGGGTTACTCAAAAAGTAAATATGTGTACGTTAGCTGCACTGCGATTCAAAAGGAAGCTTGGAAGTAACGCTTTTTTATACCGTTACCCTGAATGGGTTTTTTAATGAAGCAGTAGCCGCTTCCAGTATTTCTCGTCGTTAATAATTACTCGGTTTTTAACGCGTTCATCTAGAAATAACTGTGGTTACTATCTAGCGTTTTCTCGCTGTGAAAATTACAGGTGTTAGATGGGGTGAGAACTAGGTTGTGTGCTTGTCTTGTCTTCTCTACAAGTAACTGAATACCTCTACTCATTCCTTCATTCAAAAATAAAGAGGATTCAAATTTCGTTGCTTCTCCTGAAAAGTAACCAAGTCGTTACTTTGTTACCGAAAAAAATATGGCAAAGTAAAGTAACTCGTTACCTGTAACGGGTTACGTACAGTTCTGCTCTACCGATATAGAGTAAGGCGGTAACTATATAGGCTATCATTTTGATGCCCGTACGTCATATAATTTATCCATGCCAGGGAGTCTTAAAATTTCGAGAAACACCTATTTCTCTCCACTAATGGCCGAGGAACCCGTTTGAGAACTTATAATCCAAAGATTTAATCATCGTTTTGTTGTTGTTTTTTCGTTGCGACGATTGTTTTGTTTGTTGTAACTGCGAGTAAAAATAGCGAGATGTTCGTGGACTTGAGAGGCTGCGCCATTGTTTCTGGGAAATTGCCCCTCTTTTACAGTCGCCACAATGTACGTGAACAATTTACTCGACCGATTCGTGTATATGAAAAGCATTGAAATGATTTACGAACCGCCGAAGCTCCTATAAATCGTGAGTTCATTATCAATCGCGCCCCTCGTAGCTACGTGGCCGTCCATGATTGGTGCGTAGACGCCTGTGAACACTCGCTACTCACTACAGCCTGAATGGTATTACGCTCAACAACAATAATCACAACGACAACGACGACGATGATGATGATGATGACGACGACGATGATCATGATAATAATCATCTCTATTGTCATGAAGCGTTTGCGCACGCACCAGGCGACGTCTTGGTGTACTCAAGGCCCGTGCGCTCCTTGGGCACTGTCAAAGCTGTACACGCGGGCTGTTCACTTCTTCCGAAAGGCCACATAAAAACTATCTTTTTCTGTTAAAGATGTCATCCAGAGGCAACGTCGCGTAAAACCTTTTTGTAGTATTTCAGTACCAAGGTGATGGGTTTAGGAATGGCTAGCAGCAAGCCGCACAACAATATTCGGATCGTCTAAAACTATCAAAAACGCAGGCAATGGCTCTACACCACCTTTCCCCCTCTTTGCGGAACGGACGAAAATCCCCGTGTCTACTTCGATCCAGCCTGCATGTGCACAAGTCCCGTAGAAAGAAGTAGCTTGACAACGCGGTCGTAGCCTGCGAGGATGTATTCTATAAAGACGTACACTAACTGAAATTAAATAAAAATGCGCGCGCAACACCTCGGGTTTATTTTCAGAGGTAAATTGCCAACGAGCATAAAGGGGAATGTGTTCAAGGAACGCTCGCTTGTCTCCGTATTCCAAAAGTGAGAACTGTTTTTCTAAATTTTTTTTCGTCGTTTTTTATGTTGCAGAGTCAAGCCTCGACTTGGACCGGGAGATACGGAGGATTACGTGTGCCTGAAGCTTGGATTTGATGTTTCTAGGAACGGTGAGTGCGTCAAGTTCAAATTCAATACCCACACATACAGTCGTGTGGAATCTGTTACATGGCATGGAAGAGAGGGGGGGAAAAAAGATGGGGAGTACGAAAAAAAAAAATACAGTGAGCCTAATTATAACGAACTAGGCGCAACTTAGTCGAACGTTGAGAAATAGGTAGAAAAAATATCGAGGTAACATCGGCGTCACCGCTTTGCATTTTAAAACACCACTTCCAAGATGGCGCCCACTTACCTCGATAATCACTCGACTTATCGTTGAACCCTCGACTAAGTTACGCCTAATTCGCTACAAACGGGCTCACTGCATTCTCGTTTAAGACACATCTTTGTCGCATCTTAAATCGTGTCGCGTGTATGTGCCGACAGGCGGAAGTTATCCAACCCCAACGGGCGTCTGGTGTGCAGTGTAGATGATAAATTTAGCGAGTACAGTATCACTGCTAACCTGGGGTGTTTAAGGTGCACCACGCAGTAGTGACGTCGGTATACGATGCTCATCCAGATCGAAACGGGTGGGGATTCAACCCCTAGGTTCTGCAGCGCAAGGCTCCACTACACGCGCTCCGAGCTGCAATGGGTGAACAGACTCGGCCAGCGAGGCCCGCCACATTTTCCCGAAACAGGGTTACTTCGAAGAAAGCGGAATGTCCAAACTTCCCGGAGCGAAGCCTGCGGGCTCTCTCCGAATTGAAACGAAAGCACACAGTCCGAGTGGAGGCGGCGACGACGTCTTCGAGTCTCCTTTTCTCCCAGCTTCCACTTTTCCGCTTTTCTCCGAACCTTCGGCCCTCGAAGCCCGAACCGCGACCGGCTGCTTTGCCGGCGCTTCCTCGGGGATTCGGGCTGCTGATCTGGCGATGAAAGCGAACGTCGAGTGAATGGGCGCACGCGGCGGTGCCCCCCTCCTCCGTCTCCTAGTGTGCGTCCGTAGTGCGTGCGTCCGAGATCGAGACCGCGGGCCCCTGCTTTGACGCGGACCGAGCCAGCTGCGGCTATCCTCCCAACCCTGGCTCTGAGTACCCTTTTGAAAGGGGCCCCCTTTCAGAGACGGTCTCAATTTCGCCCCGTCGTCTCCAGGAGGGACGGTGTGTAGGTGAGACCCGGGCCTGCTATTTCCTCGCGGTGTTCGTTCCGTCTCCTGCAAATAGTTTCCCAACTTCGATTCTAGCGAAAAAAAAAAAAAAAATGTGTGGCGAAAAAAAATAAAATTCGCGCAGTTTGAGACTCGGGCTATTTGGTGTGCGCTGCGTCGTGTTGCGCCACGCCGCTTTCTGGAAGGCGACCCTGGCTGGGATTTCTCGTCGTCGATTTTGATGCTTCGAGAAGGCGTCGAGCAAAAGAAAAGGGACGAGACGGCGTTGATGCGTGAAAATGTTTCTGTTACGCGCCTTAGAGCGCGGAACGGCGAGTGCAAGTTTCGCAAGGGAGCCCGACATTGTGTGCTTCCTTTTTTCTTTTTTTTTACCGCTTTCTCAAAACGTTTGTGCCAATGTCTGTCGCGAACCCTAAACGAGTTGAGACGCAGCACTTATTTGTCTCCCCATCCTGCGCAAACGCAATCTCGTTCGGGACTTAACGCTTCGTATACACGAAGGTTGCGAAGGAATTTTGCATTTCTTAGCGTTCTTTCAGTTTACACTAAAACATGTTCGCCGCTACGTTGTTGATTGTCCTTTATCTAATTCATCGAACGATGGAATGGTTCCGATTCAGTACGATACATTCCTAGAAAACGAGCGACTTCACGAAGTTCGCTTATGTCTCTTTTACTCGTGAAGAATAAAATACTTATCCAACTTTTTGAGCTTATAAATAGTCGTATGTTGCGAGAATGGAACAATGCAAGCGGTCAAGGGAGGGAAAGAAAAATATAAAGGCATAATGCAGGTCGAATTCGCACATACCTATGCAACCTTATGAGAAATCTACAAACGAAGGAGTCGCTTCAATGGTTGGTTTATTACCCTGTTAGCTGCCGGCACTGTTTTGGACGGTACCGTACAAAAAGTAACGAAATGCGTTACCCGTTGCTTCCAAAAAAAGAGGACGTGTTACCGTCTACATTACCTCAAAATAGAAGGAACGCGTTACCGTTACTGGCAAAAGGTAACGCACGTCACTTTTGCGTAACGTTTTGTTTGTGAATTAAAACGTTTTACTGTTTCCACGTAACTAGTATGTATAATCGCCATATTTCAAGAAACATTATGTTTAAGAAGAAACTTAACATAATTGCCTTATCTGTTTAGGGTTCCACCTCAATACTCGCGAGGAAAAGTGCGAAGAAGAACGCGAAAAGAGCAAGTATTCGTATGACTTGAAGCCGACACCCGCGGAAAAAAATTACTAAATGTAATTTTTCTAAATTCTTGGAAAGACGTCGCGAGTAACGCAACTATGTTACCCGTTAATTGAAATAAGTAACGTAAGTACGATATCCGTTACTGCTTTGAAAATGTATGCAAGTACGTTGGTACGTTACCAAAACAAGTGTGCCGTCACTTGAAACGCGTTACTGCCAACACTGGTGCCGCGGTCACTCGAACACCGGTTGCACAGCAGCATTTTTCAAATTCAAATCTTTATTTTTCCAGACGTACACTGCAGAGTGTATCTCAAAACGACTCGTTCGCATTTCGCCCCTTTTTTATTTCGCATCATAACTGTTCGGGCCCTCTCAATTGAACCCTCTCCAAACATTCAAACCGTTTCCTTTCGCCTTTGGGCCTTTTCGATCCCGTTCGTACTACGACCGAATGGCACCTGGTACGTTCTCAGCCCTGGCTTGGCTCCGACGCTTTGTCACGTGCGCTGCAGCACCCTTTAAAGAGGCCGTGCGAGGATATTGGGTAGGAATGTTTCTCGCTTTACACACTCATACTGGCACTAATGGGACCCAAGAAAAATCGAACGCAACGCTGCTGACCAAGAAGTGTTTTCGTTGCGCTGGAATTGGAAGGCTAAAAACGGACGTTTTCTTTCAGTTTCTCCTTTGCAAAACTCGATGACGAGGCTGCGGGGGCAACAGCAACAATGCGATTCCTCGGGATTTTTTTCATCAAGCTGCGCGATATGTGAAACACTGGCGGCATTTAATTAACACCAGATCAGGTGGCCTCTTGTTCTGACTGTGGGTTGAAGGGGTAAACGCTGTTTGTTTTTCTCGAATTTGTCCTGCGACTGCCATTGCGCAAAAAGAAAAACAAAAAACGCATTAATTTTAAGGAATAATTGTAAACGGTAGCTAATAAAGTTTAACAAAAATGTCGCATAGTATGGAGTGAGGGGCAATCACCCCGAGTGCACTCTCCCACGGTTCGGGAAAGGGCGTAGAAGCCGCGCTTTGACAGAAAGGGGCAGTTCGGTGTTTTATTGCTCAGCGCCTCCGGCCACTTCCGGACAGTCCAACGGTGGCCCCTGACCTTCGCTGCATGTTTCAAGAGCATAACGGACGTATTCCAGGGACCGTTAGCCAAACCGCTGGACCACAAAGCACGTGTGCTTGTGGATGCGAGTCCGTTCGCGCAGGGGAGTTAGGGGGGAGGGGGCGGACTTGAAGAAGCTTCTTCGGTGATATGCGGTGACCAAGCCATGACACCGACACCTCAAAATTCGTCAATTTAATGCGTTCTTTTTTTTAGGATGAAACGTGGAGGACGTTACGAAAACGGACCAAATGCGGCAGGTTATATATACACGACGTTTCTGCGGAAGATTTCGAAAATCCCGAAAAATATGCGGTTCGCGATAAAAAGAAACTATTTGCGGGAACAAACTACCGGCCTTGGCGGACGCCAAGGATTGCAAAATCATTTGATTAGCGAGAAAATTAACTAAAATGTACTAATTCATTTTTTTAATTAGTGAAAACAAATATACGGTTATATTGAGAAACATGCGAAGCATCACCCTAACGACGGAATCAACTTTTTTTAGGCAGGTATAAATAAGGCAGGAACTGTATTTTACGGCGTTTTGAAAAGAGAAAAAAAACGAGAAAAAAAAAAAACTCAGTTTGGACGCGTTGCTAGGTTTCGGTTTCTCATCGGAGTGGATCTTGGAGCCCGCGGCCCTGCTCCCCGCTGGTCGCGGCGCGAAGTCCCCGACTCGCATCCCTCGTAGGATGGAAGGAAGTGCACGTGTGTTGCGCGTCTCGGCCACTGGGGAGCGGGCCCGCGGGCGCAGAAATGCGCTCCAATAAGAAACCGAAACCAAGGAAATCGTCGAAATTGAGCATTTTTACGAAACGCCGTATAATGTTGCCCCTGCCTTATATCTTTCTAAAGGTTTTATTAAGTGGTTTTCGATTATGCTTATCAAGTTTCTCAATGGAACCAGAAGTTTGTTTTCCCCGATCAAATAATGAATTAGCATAGTTTAGCTCATTATTTTGCTAATTAGTGTGTTTTTGCGATCCTTGGTCCGCCAGGGCTGGTGCTTTGTTCCCGCAAAGGGTTTCTTTTTATTTCGAACAGCATATTTTTAGAAATTTTTGAAAGCTTTCGCAGAACAATTTTGCGTATAAAAACATTATTACAATAACGTATATCAGAAACATTAAACAACGTAAAAGAAATGTGGGCGTAAATCGGCTCTTGATATTAGAAATACATCTTTCTCGCTAAACACCATCTATTCAGATCTGTCCCCGAGCATTCCTAGCAATTTTGATCGAATCACCTTATGCTTTTTTGTGAGTTTTGTTCTCATGGTACAGAGCCTGGACGTGCAAAAGTTTTACTGGTGGCCTTTGCATATTCGCACAGTCGATTCGATACCCGGTATCTAGTGAGTGGCTAATTGAAGGGAGAGCAGAACTGAATCTAACCTTGCAGTCAATTTTTTAATTGAGCAGCGGCGAGGCCGGTAGTGGCAGGTATTGGGGTACTGCCAAGGCACAACTTGTTTGGGGTCTAAATGCTTGCCCGAAAAATATTACGACCTTTATTTTTTTTTTTCTCTCGACGTGTTTGCCACCGTTTCAGCC